GTCGGGCCATTTCGGCAAGTGGCATCTCAACAGCACCAAGGAGTATCGCCCTGGCCGGCCAATGGATCCGGCTTCACAGGGGTTCGACGCCGTGCTGACCACCGTAAAGCCCAAGTCAACTGACGATCCGGAGTCCGACCCGCATCACGTTCAGCAGATCACAGACGCGGCCATAGGGTTTATCGAAGCCCACCGGCAGCGGCCGTTCTTCTGTTATGTATCGCACAATTCCGTGCATCGCCCTGTAATTGCCCGGCCTGAAGTGGCCAGCGAATTGGGGCAGCACATCGCCTCCAACGCCCAGCAGGCCAGCGCGAAATACGCCGCCATGGTGAACGAGATCGACGAAAGCGTCGGCCGCATCATGCAGACGCTGGATGCGTTAGACCTTTCGAACGAGACGCTGCTGATCTTCACCAGCGACAACGGTGGATTTATGGGAGACGCGAAGGACGACGGGACTTCGAACGCCCCGCTACGTGCCGGGAAAGGCACCAACTTTGAAGGTGGCGTACGAGTGCCAACGATTGTTCGTCTACCCGGTGTCACCACCGCGGGAAGTGTTTGCCACGAGCCGATCATCAGCAACGATTTTTTTGCCACATTCGCAGATGTCGCCAATTTGCCTGAGAACTCCTCGAATGGGACCGATGGGGTAAGCATCGCTCCGCTGCTGGAGAATTCAGGTGCCCACCTCGACCGCGAGGCATTGTTCTGGCATTACCCTCACTATCACTCAATGGGGGCTACTCCGCACGGTGCGGTTCGCGTGGGGCCGTGGAAGTTAATCGAGTTTTACGAGGACATGCACAGCGAGCTTTATAACCTGGAAGAAGATCTGGGCGAGCAGCACGACTTGGCCGCAGAGATGCCAGGGAAGACGAACGAGCTTCGACAGCGGCTTCACACCTGGCGGGAAGAAGTGGGGGCCCAGATGCCGGTGCCCGCGGGTTCGTAGTTGTTCCGCCGTGAGGGGAGCGGAGATTCAGTCAGTCTCCGAAGTTTGCGATTCCTCTGGGTTGTTCCCTGTTTTCTTTTGCGGCGGATCGTCGAAGAGCATCCGCACCGGAGGGGTGTCTAAGTCGTCGTACTGCCCACGGTTGAGCGACCACAGGAAGGTTGCCACAGCCCCGGCGGCGAACAGCAGCGCGACTGGCAAGGCGATGTAAAGCACACTCATCGCGGCCCTCCAAACACCCGGCTTCCCAGCGACAGCCCCACGACCGTCAGCGAACTTAGTGGCATCAACACGGCGGCCACCAGCGGATTGATCCAGCCAGTCGCCGCCATCGCCACGGCAATCACATTGTAGCTAAGCGATGCCGCGAAATTGAGGTGAATCACCTTCACGGTCGCGCGGGCACCGTCAACTAACTCGACCAGCGGCGTTAATCCTTCGCGACCAAGGTAGACACTCGCCGCGTCGAGACTCACCTCGGCCCCACCATGCACGGCCACTCCCACGGTGGCGGCCGCCAGGGCTGCCGTATCATTCACCCCGTCGCCCACCATTACCACGGTGCCTTGTTCCAGCGACTCCTTCACAATCGCCAGCTTCTGCTCAGGGCTCACCCCGCCGAACACCTGATCGGCTTCGATTCCCACTTGGCGGGCGACTTGTTCGACGATCGAAGGGTGATCGCCGGAGAGTATCCCCAACCACCAGCCTCGCCGTTGCAATTCATTTGCGGCCGCTAGTGCATCGGTACGTAACTGGTCTCCCACCCCTAACAGAGCCGAAAACTTGCCATCGACCGCCACTAATACCGGTGTCAGTCCTTCCCTAACGATCTCATCCACACGTTGGCCATCGCGCTCAGTTAGTTCCACATTGCGAGAATGCAGCAGCCCGGGCGAACCAACCTGAAGTGTGTGCCCGTCTACCGTGCCGACGACTCCAGCACCTTGTACTTGTTCGAAGTGTTCGATGACTTGATCCGCCGGTGAATTCGATTCGGCAGCAGCCGCATAGTTCGCAATGGCTACGGCGATGGGGTGAGAGGCCTCGCGTTCGAGGGCTGCAACCCAGGGAAGCACCTCATCGGGTCCGTCCCAGCGACGAACGGTCATTTTCCCTTCGGTTAGCGTCCCCGTCTTGTCGAGCCAGATTCGACCCGGCTTGCTGAGCCTCTCGAGGGCTTCTCCGCCTTTGATCACAATCGAGCGCCGTGCGGCCCGACCTTGGGCCACGGCCAAAGCCAGCGGGGTGGCCAAAGCGAGCGCACAGGGGCAGGCCACGATCAGCAGGGCGACGGCACGTTCGAGTGCGGTGTCGAGCCCGAATTGCGACCAATAGAGTGCCGTGCCAGCGGCCAGCAGCATTACCACAACCACGAAGTATCCACCCACGCGATTCGCCATCTGCACGATGGGGGCCTTCGTCAGCGTGGCCTCTTCGACCATACGCGCGAGCTTGCCGATGCGGCTGTCGTACCCGACGGCTTCGACCTGCATTCGCAGCGGCGCGGAAAGATTCACGGCCCCCGCCGTGAGTGGGTCGCCCGGCTCGGCTTGAATGGGGGTTGATTCGCCGGTAAGCAACGCCTGATCGACCGTTGAGCGACCCTGCAGCAACGTTCCGTCAGCAGGAATTGTTTCCCCGGGGCGAATGGCCACCGTATCGCCGAAGATTAGGGCTTCGATGGGGACGTCTCGTATCTGACCGTTCTCCACCCGATGGGCAATCCGCGGGGTCACGGCGTGCATGATGGCCACACTATCGGCGGCGCGCTGTTGTTGATGGAACTGAATCCAGCGGCCGACCAGCAGCAGGAACACAAGCACCGAGAGCGAATCGAAGTAAACCTCTCCGGTGCCGGTGATCGTGTTCACCACTCCGGCGATAAAGCCCACGCCCAAGCCCAGGGCAACGGGTAAGTCCATGTGGGGCGTTCGTGTGACCAGGGCCGACCACGCACCGCGAAAGAAAACCGAGCCCGGCCAAACGATCGCCACCGTGGCCAGCACGGCACTTGTCCAGCGAAAGAGCGTGCGGTGCGCCTCTTCCATGCCCGAGAACATGCCGGCATACAGCGCGATGGCAATCAGCATCGTGTTACCGGCGCAGGCCGCGGCCACGGCTAGTCGACTGAGTTGTCGGCGATTCTCGCGTTGCCGAGCTTGTTTACGTGCGTCGACAGAACGTGGGTGGGGTGGATAGCCCAGGCGGTCCAGAGCCCTCGCAACTTCTGAAAGCTGAATTCGCTCGGGCTGCCAGGTAAGCTTCGCCGAGGCGTTGCTCAGATGTACGCGGGCTTCAACCACACCGGGAACCACTTGCGGCAACCGCTCGATCAGCCACACGCAGGCCGCACAGTGGATACCTTCGAGATAGAACTCGGTGCTCGCCAGGCCATTTGCACTGTGGGTGACGTGCAGGGCGTGGAATGTCTCGTCATCCATCTCTTCGTAGCGCCCGCCACGCCCTGAGGCCGATTGTGCGGAAACTCCAATCCGTTCGCGTAGCGAGTAGTAATCGCCCAGGTCGTGCTCGCGAATGATCGCATAGGCCATGCGACAACCCTGGCAACAGAACTGTTCGTCTGTGTCGGGTGCGATGAGCCCCTCGGGGACAGGGAGCCCGCAGTGGATGCAGGAGACTTTCCGTTCGGGCGGGGTGAGCTGCGAATCGGTCGCGGATGGCTCAGTGCCAGAAGCGTCGGGCAGAGGACGTTCGTCGGTCACTGAGGAAGATTTACTCGTCACGACAGCACGGCATGGGCTCGAGAGGCAATTGCTCGACGCGGGCCCGCATTTCGTCGGTCGACGCACCCGCCACCGGGGCGTCTAGCTGCTCGTAACTTGCGTGCGCCCGCACTGCCATGGTGTAGGTTCCCACTACGATAAGCAAGGTCGCGGTGGCCACAGGCACGAGCCGACGAAATCGCTCGCTAAGCCGATTGATACCCACGGCAACAATACTGAGTGCCGGTACGGTGCCAATCCAGAAGACTGCCATTAGAGCCGCCCCGTGCAGTACGTTGGCCGTGCCTGCCGCGGTAATCACGAAGGCATACAACCACCCACACGGCAACATTACGGTGAGCAACCCCACAGTGGCACCCCGCTGGACCGGAGGAAGCGAAGCGGCCATGCGATGGGCTCGCTGCAATAGCTGCCCTAGCCAGGGTGGTGCTTGGAAGTGCAGCGAGCCAAGGCCACGCAGACGCAACAGGGCAACGATGCCGAAGACCACCATGAGAGCCCCGGCCGAGATTGCCGCCACCCGTTGGATGCCGATCAACGTTCCACCGAGATCGAGGGCCGCACCTATTGAGGCGGCCAACGCACCCAGCGCGGCGTAGCCCACTAGCCGGCCGGTGTGATAGGCCACAATGGGTCGCCACGTTGCACTCATCTGATCGCGGCCTCGCGCTCCCACCAGCATGGCGAACGGACCGCACATACCCACGCAGTGTGGGCTGCCGATCAAGCTGGCGGTGAAAACGGCAAGCGCTAGAGCTTCCATGGTTTTCAGTCGGGGTAGGGTTATTTCAAATCGAGAACTTCGCTGTTCAGAAAGACGTCTTCGCCCTTCTTAACCGTGAACCGCAATTCCCAGAGCCCGGCCTGGGGCATCAACTGGGTCGTCGTGTAGACGCCGGTGCCCTCACCGGCTTCGGCTAACTCGAGTTCCGCGGTTTTGTTCGCATGAGCATGATGAAACACCAGGGCCTTCGCCTGTGCCCCGGAGATGGGTTGCCCCTGCTCGTCGGTCACTACGAGTTGAATTGCTCTGCGACCGAGCGGGTCGGGAGTATCGTTGACGTTGAATTCGGCCTTCCACCCCAAGGCGGCGCTATCGCGAAGGGCTTGCCGACTGGCATCCCAATCGAGCGCCTGTTGGTGGTAACTGGGCTCGATGGCTAGCGAGTCGTCCCCGGCGATGGCGAACACGGCCAGCATGCACATGGTGATGTGAATGCCCAATAGTCCGACGATGACGCCCGTCCAAAGGAACATCGAGCGGCGTTCGGAAGCGGCTTCGTCCGCCGACAGGTTTATAGTGGGCCGAGCAGTAGACATGGTACGACCTTATCCTCTCCACGCGAGTTGGAGACTTGAATATCCACCTCCAGCTTCCCTCGACGATACACGTCGCTGGGGGTGGTTACCAGAATGGGTTGCATGACCGGGGTGCCGGGCTCGACCACAACGCCCTCATCGCCGATGCTCAGGCTGATGTCATCCCGCCCGACTGGGGCGAAGTGAAACGTGAGAGCTTCATTGGAACGGTTCACCAGTTTGAACCGCAGCGAGTTCTGAATCTGGCCATCGGCGGTTTTCATAAATGGGCTGCCAAGATTCCGCAGGGGAGTCACGTCGAACGACTGTTTGCCCATCAGTACGAAGCCGAACGCAGAGATCGCCGCGATGAGCGCCAACGGGTAGATGATCACGCGAGGGCGAAAGAACGAGGCCTTCTTGCCTTCGATCGCATCTTGGCTCGAGTAGCGAATAAGCCCCCGAGGGCGGTGAATCTTGTCCATCACCGAGTCGCAAGCGTCAATGCATTGCGTGCAGTTGACGCATTCCATCTGCAGGCCATTGCGGATATCGATCCCCGTCGGGCAGGTCTTCACACACAGGTGGCAGTCGATGCAGTCGCCGTGATCATCGTCCGCGTGAGCTTTTGAACGCTTGCCGCGAGGTTCGCCGCGGTTGATATCGTAGGCCACGATGAGCGATTTGCGGTCGAGCAAAACCGACTGAAAGCGGCCATAAGGGCAGGCGATCAAGCAGAGCTGTTCACGGAAGAAGCTGAAGTCGAACATCATCAGCCCGGTGGTGACAGCCATCACCAGGAATGGAACTGGGTGCTCCAGCGGTGACTGGCGAACCCACTGCGAGAGCCGTTCGACGCCGACGAAGTAAGCCAGAAATGCATGGGCCAGAACCATCGAGATGATGAGGTACACGCCCAGCTTGGCCACGTGTCGCCAGCCCGCAACGCCCCGTCGCGAGGCGCCTCCACGCCCCTTAGTCCCTTCGAACAGTCGTTCGATCGGGCGGAAGAGGAATTCCATGTAGACCGTTTGTGGGCAGGCCCAGCCGCACCACACACGACCAACCAGGGCCGTGAGAAGAAAGATGGTAAGAAACACGCCAAGCATGAAGAACGCCAGCAGCAGCGTGTCGGTCGGCAAGAAGGTAAAGCCCAAGATCGTAAACTCTCGGGCCGTGATATCGAGCAAGATGGCTGGCTTGCCGTTGATCGTGATATGAGGGATGGCCACGAACACGACCATCAGAAAGTAGGCCACGGCCTGTCGGGCTCGCCAGTAGCGGCCCTTGGAGAGCAGGGGGCGAAGCCAGTTTCGCGAGCCATCACGGTTGAGTGTGGAAAGGACCTTTTCTTCGGGGTTGATAAGTGTTTCGTTCACAGTTGCCTACCTCGTTCGCGAGTGACGCAGCCTCGGATGTCTGGGAGGCTACGGCGAAGCTTCTGTCTGGGGCGAGTCGGCTTCGCTTGCTTGCTCGCCCTCGGTTGGCGGTGTTTCTTCCGCAGAAGCTGCTTCGTCCTTCGGCTCTTCGCCTTCAGCCGCTTCTTGAGTATCAGCAGATTCGCCTGCGTCAGCCTCTGCCTCATCGCCGGCTGCATCACTATCAGTTGCCGCAGGGATATCCCACGGGGGAATCTTGGGGCCTTCTTCGCCCTTGCCTGGGGCGTTCGTGCCGCGAAGCGAGGCGACATAGGACGAGACCAACACCAGCTCGTTGGGATGCAGGCGGTTCTTCCAAGCCGGCATTGCCTGGCCGGCTGCCCCATTCCGTATTACGAGGCCCAAGTCTTCGAGGTTCCGCACGTGCTTCCAATAGTCATCCGTTAGGTTGGGGCCAACCACACCTCCGGCATTTACTCCGTGACAGGAAACGCAGTTCGTTTTGAAGACGATCTCGCCCACTTTAAGCCACTTCTCGTCTTGCATGTACTGGCCAATGGTTTGTCCCGTTAGCTCAAGCTCGCCCATATCGCCGAACTGCAGGCGGAGGTTTTCTGCCACCGCGCGATCGTAACCGGCGTACACCGAACGATCAGGAATGTCGGCCTCGTAGAATAGAACGTAGAGCAGACTGAAGGCGACAGAACCGACGAACATCAAGTTCCACCAGCCCGGCAATGGATTGTCGTACTCTTGAATCCCGTCGTAATTGTGGTCGAGCACCACGTTACGCTTTTCGGTTTCAGCCATTTTCGTCTTTCCTCGGGGTTCCGTCTTCTAACGGCAGGTGTGCCTCGTGACGGGTTGTTGCTCGGCTTTTAAGTACGGTGCGAATAACGATTGCCAAAAATGCCGCTGCGAAGAGAACCAACGCGATTGCCGCGTAGACTCCGAAACTTATTTTCTCCATGGTTACGCGACCCTAAGGTCACCCTCCACTGGCTCCGGCGGTTGATTGCAATGGTGGTGCCTCAGCCGCGACCGGCTCCTCAGGCTGCCCGGCTGCTTCCTCCGGGGCCGACTCTGGGGAGGCCTCTTCAGGGGCAGTCGGCGGCGGGGCGAAGAGATCGGTTCCTAACCGCTGGATGTATGCGATCAGGGCAATTACCTTCTTGTCTGCGAACACCCCATTTCCACCCTGTTCGACCAACGATTTGTTGATTTCTTCGGCCTGCTCTCGAGCCATTAGCTCAGCTTCAGTAAGGGCCCGATCGTACGGGGCTCCCAGGGCGGCGACCGCATCGATTCGTTTTTGAATCGACTTGAAGTCGAGCGGCTCGCTAAGCAGCGGGGCATAGCTCGGCATGATTGAACCAGGAGTCGAGGCTTCTGGATCGTTGAAGTGCATCAAGTGCCAGAAGTTCGATTGTTTCCCGCCTTCACGTGCCAGGTCGGGCCCGATACGACGGGAACCCCATTGGAACGGGTGGTCGTAGATAAACTCGCCCGGCTTTGAGTACTCGCCGTAGCGCTTGGTCTCGGCGAGAATCGGGCGAATCATCTGTGAGTGGCAGTTGTAGCATCCCTCGGCGATGTAGATGTCGCGACCGGCCAACTCCAGCGGAGTATACGGCTTCACCGAGGCGATCGTCGGCACGTTACTGCGAATGAGGAACGTGGGGATGATCTCAAACAGCGAGGCCGAAGCCACGGCAACAATCACCCAGAAGGTGAAGGCCACGGGCATCCCTTCCCATCGGCGATGCCAGCGGAGTTTGCCCAGGTTGTCGAACTTGCGGCCGATGTCGACCACCGGCTCGATATCGGATTGTGGCGGGGTCGGTTCAACGAAGTCGCGCGACAGGGCCGGGGCCATGTAGACGGGCACTTCGTACCGCGCGGGGCGGGCAGCCCAGGTCAATGCATAGTTCACCGCCAACATGCAGGCACCGGCGAAGTACAGCAGGCCGCCAGCGACACGAATCCAGTACAGGGGAAGCAGCACCCGGACGGTTTCGACAAAGTCTGGGTAGGCCAACTGTCCCGAATCGTTCAGCGCCCGCCACATCAGCCCTTGGGTCAGCCCTGCGACGTAAATCGGAACGATGTAGAGCAAAATGCCCGCGGTGCCGATCCAGAAGTGCCATTCGGCCAGACGGGTGCTCCACAATTTGGTCTGGAAGATCCGCGGGGCCAGCCAGTACAGCATTCCGAAGGTCATGAAGCCGACCCAGCCCAGGGCGCCCGCGTGCACGTGAGCGATGGTCCAGTCGGTGTAGTGAGAAAGCACGTTCACCGACTTGACCGAAAGCAGGGGGCCTTCAAAAGTCGACATACCATAGAACGTGATGGCGACCACGAAGAACTTCAGCACGGGGTCGGCCGTAACCTTACGCCAAGCACCCCGCAGGGTTAGCAGGCCGTTGATCATGCCACCCCACGACGGCATCCACAGCATGACGGAAAACACCATGCCGAATGTCGAGGCCCATTCGGGCAGTGCCGTGTAGTGCAAGTGGTGAGGGCCGGCCCAAATGTAGATGAATACCAGCGACCAGAAGTGCACGATACTCAGCTTGTAAGAGTAGATCGGCCGCTCAGCCGCCTTGGGCAAAAAGTAGTACATCAGGCCCAGGAACGGCGTCGTTAAGAAGAACGCCACCGCGTTGTGACCGTACCACCATTGCATGAAGGCGTCTTGAACGCCGGCGTAGATCGAGTAGCTCTTGAATATGCTGACCGGGAAGACCAGGTTATTGAAAATGTGCAGCATGGCCACGGTGACGATGGTGGCAATGTAGAACCAAATCGCCACGTAAAGATGGCGCTCGCGGCGGCGCAACAGCGTCATTAAAAAGTTGCCGCCGAAGATGCCGAACCAGACAACCGCGATGGCGATATCGATTGGCCATTCCAACTCTGCGTATTCGCGGCTCTGCGTGATCCCCAGCGGCAAGGTAATGGCCGCCGAGAGGATAATCGCCTGCCAGCCCCAGAAATGAAGTCGGCCCAACAGTGGACTGAACATCGGGGTCTTCAACAGTCGAGGTAGCGAGTAATAGACCGCAGTAAAGATAGCATTGCCGGCGAACGCAAAAATGACCGCGTTGGTATGCAGCGGACGCAACCGACCAAACGTCAGCATCGAAGTCAGCAGGTCGTTGCCCTCGAAGAACAGCATCTTGGGCAATACGAGCAGTACGGCGGCAATCAAGCCGACAAGCATGCCCACCACACCCCAAGCGATGGTCGCAATCGCGAACATTCTCACGATGCCGTCGTCGTAACTGAATTCCTCCATCGGGCCCGTCGTCTCGCGTTCCTTCTGAGCCGACTCGTCAGCCATTTGGCCGACACTCGTTGCCGAATTCATATCGATCGATCCTCTAACGCTACCGGCGACCGGATGACATCGAAGCCAGCCGGCTTTCGTTCCTTAGTACAACGAAACCAATTGCTTGAATTTGAGCGACTAGTGTGCCCGAGACGTAACGCGTCCAGAACACTGTAGGTTTGCCAGAACAAACCAGCCACTGGCAGACTACCGCTTTAACAAGTTGGCGGTCACTCGCCTGTCGTTAACCTGAACTCAAGCGTGCAATCACAGCGAGCAACTGCCATACCAAATGTTTGCTGTGCCCCTGGTAATCCACGATGACTCTAAGCGCAAATTGAACCGATTACGGGTGCTTTCGACAAGGCTGAACGCTCGTTTCCGCACGTCTGCGACAATATGCCACGAATAGAGTGCCAATCGAGTACAAGAGCAACTCCGAATACGAGCACTTCCGCACATAGGTGTGACATGGCGCATAGCCGCCTAACACGCTCCACTGAGGGGGAAAGAGTTTCGAAAAGTTTTAGACCGACTCTTCAATCACCGGGTTGGTCAAGGTTCCAATCTTTTCGATCTCAATGGAAACGGTGTCGCCGCCGGAAAGGAATACCGGGGGCTTGCGGGCGGCGCCGACTCCGTGTGGCGTTCCGGTGAGGATGACCGTGCCGGGGAGAAGTAGGGTGCTGCCGCTGAGGAACTCGATGAGCGTGGGCACATCGAAGATCATGTCGTCGGTGGTCCAGTCCTGCATCACTTCATCGTTAAGGATGGTCTTGATACCGAGCTTGTTGGGGTCCGATATTTCGTCGGCCGTGACCAGTTGCGGGCCCAGCGGAAGGAACGTGGCGAACGTCTTTCCCCGGCACCATTGACCCCCGCCGAATTCGATCTGCCAGTCCCGGGCGCTCACGTCGTTGGCACAGGTGTAGCCGAACACGTAATCCAGTGCTTCGGCCTTGCTGACATTCTGACAAGGCTTGCCGATCACCACGGCCAGCTCGCACTCGTAGTCGACTTTCTCGCTCTTCAGCTTCTGCGGGAGAACGATCGGGTCGCCCGGGTTTTGCACCGCGCTAGAGGTCTTCATGAATAGCACCGGGTTCTTGGGCTCGGGCTGCCCGCTCTCGGCGGCGTGCTTGCGATAATTCAGCCCGATGCACAGCACGTCGGTGGGGACCAGCGGGGAGAGCAGCTTGGCCACATCGGCCTTGGTGCCCGTGTCGCGATGCTCGCCGAAGAGTTCGCCTTCCAGCAGGGTGGCCGAGCCGTCTTCGTGCTGGACGCCAAGTTGTACGGATTGATTGCTGTCCAGGAACCGGATGATTTTCATGCGATCGTAGCTTTCGTTTTGGAGATCAAAAATTGATTGTGCTGACTGCGAAAACCGGGCAAGTCGCCAGGGCTTCGAATCGGATGCGGGGGCGGCCGTTTAAAGCCGCCACCACAGGGGGTAATTCGTTATGGACTCAGTGGTTGGATCGACATCGGGGATGCGTTTACAATGTGATGGACCGTTCCTCGAGAAGGATTCGACGCCTGATGAATGTAAAAACCCGCCCCTTCGCCGGGGCACGAACGATCGTCCTCAGCTTAGTCGTCGGGCTAATGCCGCTATTGGAAGTTGCGGCCGAACCCGCGGAGTCCACGGCTGAGGACATCGCCTACTTCAAGGAGAAGATCCACCCGATCCTCGAAGCACGCTGCCTGAAGTGTCATGGCGGCGAGGACAAGGTCCGGGGTGATCTTCGTCTCACCACTCGCAACGACATCCTGCGTGGGGGCGAACTTGGTCCCGCCGTCGAACTCGATGCCCCAGATGATAGCTGGCTGCTACAGGCAATCAACTACGAGAGTCTGGAAATGCCCCCCGACGGGAAAATACCCGCTGAAGAAATCGAGTTGCTCACCCAGTGGGTGAAGGGCGGAATGCTTGGCATGCCCGAGGGCGAAGCCGAAGCTCATGCGGAAGTGGAAGAAGCGATCTCCTTCGAAGACGTGGACCATTGGTCCTATCAAAAGGTCGATCGTCCTGAGCTGCCCGAGGTTCAAGATGTCTCGTGGGTTCGCAAGCCGGTCGATGCGTTCATCCTGCACAAGCTGGAAGAAAATGACCTTCAGCCGGCCGAGCCAGCTTCGAAGTTGACGCTCATCCGTCGGGTTTATTACGACCTGACCGGGCTACCGCCAAGCCCCGAGGAGATCAACGAGTTTCTAGCTGACGAATCCAGCGATGCCTACGAACAACTGGTCGATCGCTTGCTGGCTTCGCCCCAGTATGGCGAGAAGTGGGGCCGGCATTGGCTCGACTTGGTCCGCTTCGCTGAAACCAACGGTTACGAGCGCGACGGCATCAAGGAGAATGCCTGGCGATATCGCGACTATGTCATCGATTCGTTCAACGCGAACAAGCCTTACGATCAGTTCGTGATGGAGCAGCTCGCTGGCGATGAGTTGGAGAACGTCACGCCCGAGAGTATCACAGCCACTGGATATTACCGCCTGGGGATATGGGACGACGAACCGGTCGATGCCGAGCAGGCATTCTACGACAGCATGGACGACGTGGTCTCCACCACCTCGCAGGTGTTCTTGGCCATGACCGTGGGCTGTGCTCGCTGTCACGACCACAAGATCGACCCCATCTTGCAGAAAGACTACTACAGCTTGATGGCCTACGTGCACAACACGTACCGCGATATTAAGCAGCTCGAGTTCGAAAAGACGGCCTTCACACTGAACACCCAGCAAGTGATCGCCACAGATGAGCAACGGCAAGAACACCGGGAGCAACTCGCACTGCATCGCCAGCAGCGTGAAGAACTCGAACAGACCGTCGCCAGCTATGAAACGCAAATCTTCGAAACGCTGGCCCCCGCGGAAAAAGAGGACGCCCGCGACAAGAAGACGCGAGAGTTCTTGATTGCCCAACGACGTGAGCAGGTCCTCTCCGACGACGACCTGGAGACGTATCTGCAACGAAAGAACAAGCTCGAGCAACTGCTCGACAGCAAAGTTCCCCCGCTCCCGCGGGCTCTGGCGATCAAAGAGAACGGAACCACCGCTCCCGAGACGTATGTGCTGGTCCGGGGGAATTGCCACGCCAAGGGAGACGAGGTCGAGCCGCATTTCCCATCGGTGCTGAAGATGGAGGAGCCGGAGATTACCCCTGCGGAAAGCGCTTCCAGCTCGGGGCGGCGACTGGCGATGGCCAAGACGATTGTCGATCCCGACAATCCGCTGACCGCGCGGGTGATGGTGAACCGCATCTGGCAGCATCACTTCGGCCGTGGCATTGTCCGCACCACAAGCGACTTTGGCACCGCCGGTGAAGCCCCCACGCATCCGGAGCTTTTAGATTGGCTGGCAGCCGAGTTTGTTTCCACCGGTTGGGACATCAAAGAGATGCACCGACTGCTGATGCTATCCAACACGTATCGCATGTCGTCGAACGATTCGGCGGAAGCGTTGGAGAAAGATCCTCGCAACGACCTCTTCTGGCATTTCGACATGCGTCGACTCTCAGCCGAAGAGATCCGCGACACGGTGCTCGCAGTCAGCGGGTCGCTCAACTTGCAGATGTATGGCCCCAGTGTTTTCACCGAAATTCCGGCTGAAGTCCTTGCCGGGGCCTCGCGGCCCGAGGTGGCTTGGGGGCGTTCGCCCGCCGATCAAGAGCGACGCCGCAGTATCTATGTGCTGGCCAAGCGATCGTTGGCCGAGCCGGTGCTAAAAACGTTCGACTCACCCGACACCGAGGCAAGCTGCGCCGTGCGGTTCGTCACCACTGTGCCGACCCAATCGTTGACTATGCTCAACGGGCAGTTCTTCAACCGAGAGGCCGTGACCTTTGCCGCCCGATTGAGAGAGGAGTTCCCTGGTGATGTTGAGCAACAAGTTGCCGAAGGCTTTCATCTGGCCCTGTGTCGGGAAGCCACCCCAGAGGAAGTAAGCCAAGGCGTCGAGCTAATCGAAGCGTGGCAGCAGGAAGACGGCGTTTCAGAGGAAGAAGCGATGAAGTTCTTCTGCCTGATGGTGTTCAATCTCAACGAATTCAGTTTCCTGGACTAGGTAATCCCACCACTCACTAGTGCCAGAGAATCGATAACGCGAAAGAGTCTGTGACCATGACCAAGCCGAACAAACCCTCGGGCAACTTCTGCGGCCGCACGCGACGCGAGTTTCTGTGGCAAGCCGGCGGAGGGTTCACCTCCGTAGCTCTGGCGGGGATGCTGGGCAACGACTTCATTGACAAGCAAGCGGTCGCCGCCGACGGGGTGACGCCCTTCGTGAATCCGCTGGCTCCCAAAGAGCCCATGTTGCCGGCGAAGGCCAAGAGTGTGATCTTCCTGTTCATGTACGGCGGACCGAGCCACGTCGATACGTTCGACTACAAGCCGAAACTGGCCAGCCTCGACGGGAAGTCGATCGAGGTGAAGACCTTCGGACGGCAGGGCAAGAAGAACGAAGGCCGCGTGGTGGGGCCGAAGTGGAAGTTCAACCAATACGGCGAATGCGGCAAGTGGGTTAGCGACCTGTTTCCCAATGTGGCCACCTGCGTGGACGACATCGCCTTCATCCATTCGTTGTACGCCGAGTCGCCCATCCACGGTTCGGCCATGTTAATGATGAACTCGGGCCGCATCCTCTCAGGCAACCCCTGCCTGGGAAGTTGGGTTACCTATGGCCTGGGTAGCGTGAATGAGAACTTGCCCGGGTTCGTGGTGATGCTCGATCCCTCGGGCGGACCGATCAGCGGTGCCCAGAACTGGACCAGCGGCTACATGCCGGCCTCTTACCAAGGCACACTACTGCGTTCGGCCGGAGAGCCAATTTTGGATTTGGCCCCTCCGGTTGGCATGTCTCCGTCGGCCCAACGTCGTCTTCTCGATGGGCTGAACGACATGAACCGCGATCATCAGGCTCTGCACGGCAGCAACAGCAACCTGGCTGCCCGCATTGCCAGTTATGAGTTAGCCTACAAGATGCAACAGCACGCCCCTGAGGCCGTCGATTTCAACGAGGAGCCGGAGCACATCAAGAAACTCTATGGGCTCGACCAAGACCGCACGAAAGACTTCGGCCGCAAGTGCCTGTTGGCCCGTCGCTTAGTCGAGCGGGGTGTACGGTTCATCCAGGTTTACTCCGGCGGAAACCACAACGATTACAACTGGGACGCCCACGGCGACTTGGTCGAGAATCACAACCATCACGCCGGCAACACCGATCAACCGGTCGCCGCGTTGCTGAAAGACCTCAAGCAGCGAGGGCTACTCGACGAAACGCTGGTGGTTTGGGGGGGGGAATTCGGTAGACAGCCCACCGCAGAGTACGAAAAGGGAACGGGCCGCGACCATAACGCCTACGGCTTCACCATGTGGATGGCCGGCGGCGGCATTAAGGGCGGAACCAGCGTGGGCGCCACCGACGAACTGGGCAGCAACGCAGTCGAAGATCGCTTCCACGTGAAGCGGCTGCACGCCACCATCCTGCATCAGCTAGGGCTCGACCCGAATGGCCTGACGTACTTCTACAATGGCTTGGATCAAAAGCTCGTGGGTGTCGAGGGCGCAGAGCCCATCTCGCAGATCATCTAACGCCACGCGCGAAGAAGTGATGTGCGACCGCCTTCCAAGAGTGCTCACTTAGAGCAATTGCGGCTGCTGAGTGCGCCTAAAAAAAGAGCCGCGACCGGGGCAAAGGATCGCGGCCCAGTAGATGACTTGGGTACGTTGGCGCCGCACGGTCATCTACCACTGGTAATAATGCCAACCATTGGACCGAATCTCAACACGAAACCTGGAAAACTCAGGAGTTTTCTCGCGGGAACATACACGCCTGGGGTAGCAGTTTTCCCCACCAATTAGGGCCGCGAATTGGATACGTCTCCGCTTCATGAGAGCGTTTTGATCTCTATTGGCGAGAGACCGCCATGCAGGACAACAAAGCAAGCTGCTTGGCAGTGCGACTATGAATTCGCTGTAGCCAGCTTGCCTCGGCGGAATTTCCGCAGCACTTCGGCAGGGTCGATGCGTTTGCAGAGCTGCATCGTGGGGCGTTCAACCCAATAATGCAGACAAGTTGCAATCCCGAGAGCCACCACACCGGCCAGCGTGATAGCCAACATCGGCTTCATCCCTTGAGCTTCAAGATTGCGAATCAGCACGTAGCCAATGTTCTGGTGCGTGAGGTACAGCGAGTAAGAAATCGCCCCCAACCACACCAAGGGGGCGGCCGCGAGAACAGCGAATCGTCCACTCACGGCCATCCACAACGCCACGGCTAAGGCAAGATCGATCGCCAGCGAAGACACTCCTCCCCACCAACCAATGGTCGCCACGCAAGCGAACAGCCCCACCCAGGTCAGCCGGGTGTATTGTCCCGAACGGTGCGCGTCGTACAGCAACATGCCGATGCCAAACATGGGGATGTAGTTCAACGTCGTAATCGTCGCCACCTTACGCAACACCGACTCGGCCAGCGGCCAGGCCGTAAGCGTGTAGTCGCGAAGTGCGTAGACAGTGCAGGCGACCGCTAGCCATCCGATCACCGTAAGGGCCGGCTTACGAAACGCCCCCAGGCGATAGAGCAGCAGCATGTTGGCATAGAAGATCAACTCGGCCTGCAGCGACCAGTAGGCCCCATCGACGTGAGGAACCTTCAGCAGCCCTTGAATCATGGTGGCGTTCACCAGCGCCTGCCCCAGCGTGACTTCTTGCCCTGGCAAACCACAGCTGCTGACGATGAGGAACGTCAAAGCCGCCGCGACCCAATACGTGGGATACAGCCGAGAGAATCGCCCCCAGGCGAATTTGAGGCTGTCGGCCGTGCGTTCGAGCGTCATCAGAATGACGAACCCGCTGAGCATAAAGAACAGGTCGACGCCGAACCCTCCCCAGGGGACGCTGGTCGGCAAGGTCTCGGTGTGCCCAAACAGTTGCTGATACCGCGTGGTGTAGTGAAACAGCACCACCGCCAGAGCAGCCAGCCCGCGGAGGGCATCCAGTTCGATGATGCGGCCGCTACGTGCGGAAGTGTTTTGCGGCCGTAGAGATTCGTGCGACATGGTCACTCAAGGCAAAGGCATTCGCGGGCGACGAGACTTCAGCAGAAAAGCAAACCGTGTGCCTGCCAGCCGCTAGAAGCCTGTCTGTTAAATATGCCTTGCCGAATCGGCCGTTTCGCCGAATCTAGGGCTTCTTCGTGTTGACGAAACGCATCGTCGACGCGATTCGTGTTGCGAAAGCTCAACGCGTGAAGTGGTACGACTTCGGCTGCGCACCACGGAAGCCGTTGAGAGGGGAATGATGCGGGACCGGCGTTTAAGCTTCTTCCAAAGCTGCGACCAGGTCGAGGACGATCTTCTGTCCGTCGCCGAAGAGCATCAAGGAGTTGTCTGCCGCGAACAAAGGGTTGGGGATGCCGGCAAACCCCGGGCTCAGGCTTCGTTTGACGATGATCACCGTATTGGCTTTATCGACATCGAGCACCGGCATTCCGGCGATGGGAGAATTCGGATCGGTGCGGGCCAAAGGATTGACCACGTCGTTAGCACCGATGACTAGAACGATATCAACCTTCTCGAATTGAGGGTTGATGGCGTCCATTTCGACCATCTTGTCGTAATCAACGTTGGCTTCGGCCAATAGCACGTTCATGTGCCCCGGCATGCGGCCGGCCACCGGATGGATGGCGTATTGCACCTGGCAGCCACGCGTTTCTAGCAAGTTGGCCAAGTCGCGAACCGCGTGCTGGCCTTGCGAAACGGCCAACCCGTAGCCGGGCACAATCACCGCACGACGAGCCGTCTCGAAGATCATGGCGGCCTCTTCGGCCGAAACGCTCTTCACCTTGCCGGCGTACACTTCGTCGGCGTCGGCCACTTCGCCGCCTTCGGCCATCACGCCGAACAGCACATTGAACAGCGAGCGATTCATCGCCACGCACATAATCCGGGTGAGAATCAAACCCGAGGCACCCACTAGCGAACCGGCGATGATCAACATGTTGTTGTTAATCACAAAACCCGTGGCCGCGGCAGCGAGCCCCGAATAGGAGTTCAGCAGGGCGATCACCACCGGCATGTCCGCTCCGCCGATTGGGAGAACAAGCAAGAGTCCCAAGGCCGAGGCAAAAATGACCAGTGCCCAATAGAGCAGGGAACTGGAGGGATCGAGCACCAGCCCCACGGCGCAGGCAATCGACAAGAGGGCTAGCAAGCCACTCACGATTTGTTGGCCACTGAAGCTGATGGAGTTTCCGCTGATAAGTTCCTGTAGTTTGGCGAAGGCCACCAAACTTCCAGTGAAAGTCACCGAGCCGATGATTCCACTGGCAGCCACTGCGATGGTTACTTGCTGGTCGTCGGCCAGGGTTTCGGTTGGAATCAGCCGAATCAGTTCGGCACCGGCCACGACGAGTGAAGCCGCACCGCCAAAGCCGTTGAGCAAGGCCACCATCTGCGGCATGTCGGTCATTTTGATCCGCAGGGCCAGAACTGCACCAATTACGGCCCCGATGACCAGTCCGACGGCGATCCACACAAAACTTATTACGGCCTGATCGAACAGTGTGACCACAACGGCCAGCAACATGGCCGAGGCGCCCATCAAATTGCCACGCACGGCGGTCCGCGGATGCGTCATGCCGCGGATTCCGAGAATGAACAGAACCGCTGCGACGAGATAAGCCAGATTAATAAAGTCAGCGTTCACGGGGGCTAGTCCTTGCGGCGGAACATCTCCAACATGCGATTAGTCACGAGAAAGCCACCCACCACGTTGATTGTGGCCAGCGTGACCGCAATCATTCCCAGGAAAGGTGCCATGCCCGACGAACTACTACCAGCGGCCAGAATTGCTCCAACAAGCGTGATGCCCGAGATGGCATTCGAGCCAGACATCAGCGGCGTATGCAGGTTCGGCGGGATTTTGGTGATAATTTCGAAGCCGATAAACACCGCAAGCACGAAGATCGTGAGGCCGACAACCAACGATTCCATGACGCTTTCCTCGACTTGGTTTTGAACTATTCCGATTGATCTGCCGCGGGCTGTAGCGTCGGCAATCCGAGTATTTCGCGAACCCTCGCATGCACGACTTCGCCGTCGCGGGTGACCAAGGTTCCACTGGTAATTTCATCTTCAGTGTTGAATTTCACCTGGCCGTCTTCGACCAGATGCAGCAAGAACGTGGCGATGTTCTTGGCGATCAACTGGCTGGCATCGCGAGGCAGCGAAGACGGGACGTTTACCGGCCCGAGGACCGTTACGCCTTGATGATCGATGGTCTGCCCAGCTTGAGTTACTTCACAGTTGCCGCCACCTTCAGCCGCCAGGTCGACGATGACCGATCCACGGTGCATCCCTTCGACCATGGGCGTGGTCACCAGCAGGGGCGACTTCCTTCCTGGGATGGCGGCCGTGGTGATCACCACGTCGCTGCCGGCCACAACCCGAGACATCAATTCGCGCTGCTTGTTCAGGAAGTCCTCGCCCTGTTCCTTGGCGTACCCACCGGCGTCTTGGGCGTCTTGGGTCTCCAGTTCCATTTCGACGAACGAGGCCCCCAGGCTTTCCACCTGTTCTTTTACGGCGGGCCGCACGTCGTAGGCTTCGACCAGGGCTCCCAGGCGTTTGGCCGTGGCGATGGCTTGCAGCCCCGCCACACCGGCACCTATGACGAACACCCGCGCCGGCGTAATCGTTCCGGCAGCCGTGATCATCATGGGGAACATCTTCGGCAGGGTGTTAGCTGCCAGCAGTACCGCCTTGTAGCCGGCCAGCATGGCCATACTGCTGAGCACGTCCATGCTCTGGGCGCGGGTGATTCGCGGCATCAGCTCCAGCGAGAGGAGCGAAACCCCCTTCGCCGCGGCATCTTGCATGTGTTGTGCCTGACCGAGCGGCTCGCACATAGCGATCCAGATTTTGCCCGCCTGCATGCGTTCCAGGTCTGCCGACGGCTCGGGAGTGGCTCCCAGGCAGCGGACCCTCACCACCACATCGGCGGCAAACGCGTCATCGCGGCTGCCGATCGTAGCCCCTTTGGCGGTGAATTCCTCGTCCGCAATCCCGGCGGGGAGCCCCGCCCCAGACTCGACGACAATCTCCAGCCCGGCTTTGGTCAACGACGGAAGCACGCCGGGAACTAAAGCAACGCGGCGTTCGTCCGGCGACGTTTCTTTGGGGACACCGATTCGCATGGCAACCTTGGGGGGCGAGTTGGGCCTTAGCGGTCACTCAATCGTCAAAATCTCGACGTTTGTCAAACTGCTGTGGGCATGAGTGTGGCATGTTCAGTCCTGGCTGAAAACCCCTACTAGCAGCTTTCTTACGACGAATTGCCGTGGGTTGGAGTTCAAAATTCGGCCAGCTTCTCATCCGTTCACAAAGGCTTCTAATTCAGGCCGAATTTTGCTTAAGGCTGTGCCCTTGAAGATCGCCCCGAAACGCATTATGTTATTCGATTCGCAAGATTTAGGAATTTGGGTCCTCGCCCTCGGTGGGGGCGATCTCTGGTCCCGGGTCTGACCATGGCTCGATTTCGGGACATTACGGAAGCGGAGCAATGAACAACAAGACATATATGGCCAAGCCCTCGGAAGTCAGCCCCAAGTGGTTGCACGTCGATGCGACTGACAAGGTGGTCGGACGTTTGGCTTCCGAAATCGCCGTGATCCTGATGGGCAAGCATCGGCCCACCTACACCCCGCATATCGACACGGGCGATTTCGTCGTGGTCACCAATGTGGATAAGATCGCTTTCACGGGTAAGAAGTGGGAGCAAAAGCGATACACTTGGTACACCGGCTACCCCGGGCAACGTAGCGAATCGGCCGAAGACCGCTTCGCCCGTCGTCCTGAGCTGATCTTGAGCGAAGCCGTGCGACGCATGCTTCCGAAGAACAAGCTGGCCAAGAAGATGATCCAAAAGCTGAAGATCTACTCGGGTCCCGATCACCCGCATCAGGCACAAAACCCTGAGTCTGTCGATCTGGCGGTCAAAACCTCGAAATAGTTTCACCGAGCGGTCACACTAAGGATTCCGCTGCGGCTTAATAACAACACAAGCAACCGACGCAATAGGATGAATCATGGCGACAGCCGAAGAACCGAAGACAAAAACGGGTGATGCCACGGGTACTGGACGACGCAAATCGTCGATCGCCCGAGTTCGGATCCGTCCGGGTAGTGGCCAATTGACCATCAATGGCCGCGCTGTCGAAAACTTCTTCTGCGAAGAGCAAGACCGTCATACGGCCTTGGCTCCTTTGGTCGCCACCAGCGTTGGTGAGCAAGTCGATATTCTCATCCGCGTTAACGGTGGTGGCCCCACCGGTCAAGCAGGCGCGGTGCGACTCGGAATCGCTCGGGCGTTGAAAGAGTACGACAGCGAAACCGAAGCCGTTCTTCGCGAGCAACACCTGCTGACGCGCGATGGTCGTATGAAAGAACGCAAGAAGTACGGTCTGCGTGGTGCCCGTAAGGGAACGCAGTTCTCGAAGCGTTGATTTCCCGACCTCATGTCGCCTTCCATATCTCAGTTGGCTTCTGCCCCACTGGTATGGAATGCCGATCCCGCAGGCTACTTCAACCGCTCGATTTCGCGGACGAATTGCGCTTCGAGCAAACGCAGGTCGTTGCCGAACACGGCGGTGAAGTCGGCCAGCCGCTGCTGCGAGGTGTAGTCTTCAAACGGCTCACGCTCGACGGTTCGGAGTAAATACTCGGCGAACTGCCGTGGCCGGGTCTCCATGAGATAGAACGACAGGGCCCAAGCTTCAGCATACGCTGCGCTGGGGTTTTGAAAGAAGATGCGATCGGAGGAGATGAACTCTGCCAGCGAGCCTACCTTCCGGCTGGTCTTCAGGTAGGTCTTGAAGCCTTCGAGCCGGCCCTGATTGATGCGGTCCTCGCGACTCTTGTGCATCCGCGAGTCCCAGACGCCGGGGGCCTCGAACATAGTGCCTAGCCCTTCGACAACCCATTTGGGATTGTTGCCAAAGCGACGATGGATATCGGTATTGAAGGCTGTTTGATGGGTGGCTTCGTGAATGATCGTGTCGGCGTTGAGTTTCCACGCCTCGGGGCTGTTAGAACCGGCCCCCGTGTCGTACAGCGTGATGCGATTGCTGATGGGCGAGTAATACCCCAGCACATTCGGCGGTAGTTGCGATCCTTCGCTACGGGCGTAGCGATAAAAGTCATTCTTCGTCGGCCACACAATGGCCACCAGCGGAAACTCTGGTTCTTCGAGGTGAAACCCTCGCACGCCAAAGTAATGCACGAACGAGCGATAGAGATCTTCGAACCGCTGGCTCCACAGTTGCCCCTGCCCCCGAGGGTGGGCCACCAGGTAATGTCCCGTGCCGGTGATTTCGAAGCCGCTTCCCAATTCACGCGTGAGCTGCGATCGCATGTGCGAGGCCGAATAGCTCTCGAACGAGTTCTTCGTCCGCCGGAAGTTCTTGGCCGCCTGAGGACGAAAGTCCCACAGTCGCCCGTCCCGCCCCAGCAGATACACGCGGCTCTTCGACCAGGACAGCGGAAGCCCCTCCAACTCGTGTCCGTCTAGCTCCAGTTCCAGCATCAGGCCCCGGTATTCCTCCGCCGCAGCATCAGAGCACAGCGGGACGGTCATCACCACGGCGCACGCTGCGAAAAGAACGAGACGGATCGGTGTGTATGGGAACTGGGGCATCGTTCTGAAATCCAAGTGTGACAGCGGGCTGTTGTAGCGCCGCGGTGCGGTTTTTCCGCAAAAACCAAGTTTCCGGGCGGAGAAAAGACCTATCGAAGCCTACCCCGCAGATAACGGTTGCGCCCCGCCATGGGCGACAGCCCTCCCGCGACTCAATCGTCAGAATTGGAATGCTGGCCTCCACGGCTGCGCGTACCCTAAAATGAAAGGGATACGGGAGAGAGCTACTTCGGCCGAGTTAAATACCGCCCAAGCCCGAGCTTCCACCCCTTTGATACGCGTGCATTGCGGACGAAAAGAGAAAGGCAGTGGTGATGATAAAGACGCTGCTGGTTATCAGTTGCGCCCTCTTGGCTCAGCCACCAGAGAGTTCCAATTCAGAACTGGCCAACGAAGTTGCGAAGCTGATTCGCAATCTGAACGCCGATGCCTTAACGCAACGCGAGGCCGCAGAGCAACGCCTGCTCGAGTTGGGCCCGAAGATTCTGGAACTGTTGCCCGACCCAAACGCACCGCAGCCAGCCGAAACCGAGATCCGTCTCGATCGGGTCACCCAAGAGTTGCGGCGTCAGCAGATCGATTCCCTGACCCAGGCCACCCACGTCACCATCGAGAACGCCACACTCGGCGTGAAAGAAGTCTTCCGGCAGATTGAAGAACAGACGGGCAACCAGGTCATCGACTATCGCGAAGAATTCGGCCAACCCTCGGACGATATTCAGGTGCAGGTCGACTTCGGCAAGAAAACATTCTGGGAAGCACTCGACGATGTGCTCGATCAGGCCGGGCTGACCATCTACACCTATGGCGGAGAACCGGGGCTCGCCATCGTGGCCAGCAACTCCGCCATCAGCCGCGAAAGCCTGGCCGACTATCAAGGGGCGTTCCGCTTCGAGCCGGTTGAGATTCGTGCACAGCGAAACTTCAACGAGACTGGCACCAGCAACCTGAGGCTCAAGTTAGCCGTGGGCTGGGAGCCAAGGCTCAGTCCCATCGTCATGCGGCATCAACTCTCCACGGTTCGTGCCATTGACGGCGATGGCGAACCCCTGGTGGTCGAAGATGGTCGCGGGAATGCCGAACTCGAATTCTCGATCAACAAACAGATGCACGTCCAGGAATTCGAAATCCCGTTCAAAGCACCTCCGCGGGAGACCAAAGAAATTCAGAGCGTCTCAGGCGGCATCGACTTTCTTCTCACGGGGCCACTCGAGAGCTTTCATTTCGATCCGCTCACCGATGAGTTGAACATCGAGCAAACCCGTGGGCAGGCCACCGTGGTGCTAGAGCGAGTACGTAAGAATCGCGACACCTGGGAGTTCCGAGTACTGGTTCAATACACCGACAGTGCCGGTGCCCTGCAGTCGCACTACGGCTGGATTTACAACAACCCCGCCATGCTCGTCGATGCCAACGGAGAAGAGATTCTGCCAGCCACAATTGAAACCACGCGACGCACCGAAAGCGAGATCGGCATGGCCTACATGTTCGATGTACCGCAAGGACTCGAGGGTATGACGTTTGTTTACAAAACGCCCGTGGCCATGATGTCGCACCACGTCGACTACGAGCTGCAAGACCTGAAGCTACCCTAAAGGCTCACCGAACCCACGCAGCAGGAAGGATCGAGGTATCGTGAATCCGGCCCAAGCGATTGTCGCCCGTTTTCGAGTTTTGTTGGCAGTGCTGCTCGTTGCACTCTCGCAGGTAACCCTTGCCCAAGATGTACCGGCAGAACCCAAGGTGGCCGTGATGGTGGGCGATATGCCAGTCTTCGCCAGTGAAGTGCAGCAGAACATTCAAGCGGCATTCCAGGGCAAACAAGTCACCCAACAGCAGTTGGCGGCCCTTCAGATCCAGGCCTTGAACCAACTCGTTCAGCAGCGGCTGGTCGTGTTGGGTTTGGAAGCACAGGGGCGTGGTGCCTCGGAAACAGAAATCGACGCGGCTATAGCTCAACTCGAAGAGCAATTGGCGGCCCGAGATCAAAACCTCGACGAATTCCTCCAGGAACGCCAGATCACCAGAGACGCGCTTCAGGCCGACGTTGCCTTCAAGATCGGCTCCTCGAAGTATCTCAGTGAAGAACTGACCGACGAGGCACTGGAAGCCTATTTCGAGGCGAATCGACCACGCTTCGACGGCAGCCTAATCAACGTGGGGCACATCATTCTCCAGGCAGACGGCCCCAACAAAGCCGCTGCCCTGAAGAAAGCCCTTATCGACGCCGCGGCGATTCGCCAGCGGATCGATTCCGGGGAAATTACCTTCGAGGAAGCCGCACGTGAGTACTCGGCCGGCCCCAGTCGCCAGTCAGGTGGCCAACTGGGGTTCATTCCCCGACGCGGCATCATGGACGAGCAGTTTTCCGAGGCCGCGTTCAATCTGCAACAGGGCGAAATCAGCCAGCCGGTGGTCACCAAGTTCGGTGTTCATCTCATCCGTTGGGTCGGTGCAGAGCCCGGCGACAAAGCCTGGAGGGACGTGAAGGGAGAACTGCAGAAGGCACTTGGCAACAAAGTGCTGAACGACTTGGCGGAAGAACAACGGAAGACGACAACGATCACAGCCGTACAACCGTAGCTACTCCGCCTTACCATTCTTGCCATCGCCAGACTTCCAAACCGGTGGTAACAACTCCACCAAGGTAGTCCCATCCGACAATGCCGACTGCCCCGGAGGGCGTTCTAGTTCGGCCAGCGCGTCGGCCGCACCCAAGGGATCGGCCGGATCCCACTCGAGCAACTGCCGCAATACCGCTTTGGCGGTCTTTTCTTTTTCCATTCGACACAACACGCCAGCGAACAAGAATGTGGCCGAGAGCAGCCCGCGGTTGGCTTCCCGTTCGTGCGGCAGGGGTCCCTTGGCACCCGCGTTGGCCAGCGCCGCGTTTGCGATGTCGTAGCAATAGCCCAGGTGCCCTCGGGCCAGGGGCCAGTCTTCGTCCTCCACGGCCATCTCGCCGAGCAATCGATGAGCGTCGATGAAATCCGAGCAGTCGGTCAGCAGCCAGCGAAGCTCATCGATGGCCACGTCGGTTTCGCCGGCCTCGATCATCGCTTCTACTTCTTCGATGTCCTCTGCTCGATCGCGGGCGCAGCGAGGATGCACGATCTCCCAACTCTGCAATTCCTCCAGCCAACGCGCGCCAAGGGCAGTCTTACGGTTCGACGAATTCCCTCCGCCGCCACGTCGTTTCCCGGCTTTGCGTTTTTTGCCTCGCCCACTCACGCAGAAACTCTCCACAGAACACGGATCTTGGTCATTTGCAACCCCACGCCACTTGTCCCGGCGGGTCTGCCGGTTGTTGCTTGAGTCGGTAGGTTTTACAATCCGCGCGACAGGGAAGCCAGCCGTAAGAAATCTAGGGACTGCGAAGTTCATTGTCCACTCGACCAAGCGATCAGCCTAGCCCATCGTATACCGCACCCAGCACGGCCGCCTGGAAGCAAACGCTCCGGCGGAAGATGCTCGCCTGGTACGATCGCCATGCTCGCGACTTGCCGTGGCGTCGGACATGCTCGCCCTACCACGTTTGGGTGAGCGAGGTGATGCTGCAACAAACCCAAGTCGCCACGGTGGTGGCTTACTTCGAGCGGTTCACCGCGGCATTCCCCACCATTGCCGACCTGGCAGCAGCCGAGGAGCAAGAAGTTCTGCGGCTGTGGGAAGGTCTGGGCTACTACCGCAGAGCCCGCCAACTTCATCTGGCGGCCAAAGAAATCGTCGCCCTCTACGGTGGCGAGTTCCCCAGCGACCCCGAACAGGTTCGCAGCCTTCCGGGAATTGGGCGTTACACCGCAGGGGCAATTCTTTCGATCGCCTTCGAACAGCAGGAAGCCATTCTGGAGGCCAACACCTTTCGTGTTTATTCCCGGCTGCTGGCCTATCGTGGCGATCCACGTAGCACACAGGGCACGCGAGATCTTTGGTCCGCTGCTGAGTCGTGGCTTCCTCGCAAGCGAGTGGGAGCGTTCAATCAGGCGATGATGGAATTGGGCAGCGAGCTATGTCTGCCGAAGGCCCCTCGTTGCGACAAGTGTCCTGTTTCGACGATCTGCGGTGCCTACTCACAAGGGCTCGAAGCCGAGATCCCGCCGCCGATCTCCAAACCGAACATCGAACAGCGACACGAGATCGCCCTGGTCCTCAAGCGGCGTGGCAAAGTGTTGCTCGTGCAACAGCCCGAGGGCGCCCGTTGGGCAGGGCTATGGGACTTTGTGCGTGGCCCAATGCCGGGCGTGAACGGAGTAAAGAAAAAGCCCAAGCAGCCACCGAAGCAACTTCCCAACGAATCGATCGCCCCCATCGCCGAGCAAGTTGGCTGCACCACCGGCGCCGCCAAGCATCTCACCACCATCCGACATTCAGTCACCCGGTTTCGCATCACGCTCGATGCGTATGAAGCGGAGTGCACGAAGAGCAACGTCGGTTCAACCCGCGGCGGTGGCAAGAAGAAAGACACGCCCATAGTCCGATGGTTTCGACTCGACGAGGTACATCAACTCCCGCTCAACGTGACGGGCAGAAGGCTGATGAAACTGCTGCACGACCAGAAAGCCTAAGCTTCAGGCCGCCTTCCGCGGGCTTGGTTTCGTCCGTTCACGTGGAACTTTCAGCGTGGGCGGTTTGTTCCGCGAATTGATCGCCAGCTCGATGCGGGAGTACAGCCAGTTCCATCGCCAACCCAGGTAGGCCCCCACCGCGAGCGAGGCGATGAACAGCTTGGGCTGGTACTCGCGAAGATAACCGCCCAACTGACTGGCGGCGTTGTAGACCGTGCCCATCCAGTTGGCGCGCTCGCTGGCGGCGAACAGGGGTTCGATCGTTTGACCACCGTAGCGAAGCTCGTTGCCCAGCCAGGCTCCGCCGAGGATGACCACCGCCGCGGCAAACACGCCTCGCGCGTCGGAGGGCAACCAGTTCCGCAGGGCCACGAACACAATCAACGCCACCGAGAAAGCCAACGGGGCGGTCTGTCGCAACACGTCGGCCAAATCGGCCGAACCGCCGTCGAGAAAGCTGCTGGCGAAGGCCACCGCCTGATCGGCCACGGTGCTCAGTGTGCCTGAAAGGCCCTTGAGCAACAGCATGACAAACAGCGTCACGCACATCCCCGGGTGGTGCACCACGGGGCTCGCGAGCAACCGCAGTCCCCGCCGGCTTGGTTTTTCTGGTCGATCCATCATCAGGGGGCAGTTACGATGGCCATTGTGGGGAACATCAGTTCAGGCCGCTGACGGCGACCGTGGCGGATGATAGCGACACCGGCGATTGCTGGAAAACCTCAATCCGCTGGAATATCTTCGTGACATCGTTTCCCGCCGAATGTCCCACCGCGACCGTGCTACCGCTGAAAGCAGGACCACCCCTGATGCTCAATCGATTCCCATACTTCGCCATCGTGGCCGTACTGCTCACACTTCTTTTCGCCCCTCAAGCGCAAGCTGGCGAGGCCCTCGATCCTTCGCTGGCCGAACGTACCGAGGGCGATACAACCCTGTGGTACGACGTGGAATTGTTGGGCCCCGAGGGCAAGGCGTTTGACGACACACTGTCGTATTACGATCGCCTGCCGGAGCGAGCGAAAGGCGTGGTCCGCGACATCGTGTGGAACCTGAGCCGGCACTCGGCCGGAATGTGTGTGCGGTTCGAGACCGATGCCACCACGATCTTCGCCCGGTGGACGCTCACTTCTGAAAGGCTCGCCATGCCGCACATGGCCGCGGTCGGAGTCAGTGGGCTCGACCTTTACGTCAGGGCCGACGATGGTCGCTGGCGATGGTTGGCAGCGGGCCGCCCTGAGAAGTTCCCCACCAACACCGCTCGCCTGATCACCGGCATCCCCGAGGGCACGCGGGAGTACCTGCTGTACCTGCCGCTGTACAACGGAGTTTCCCAGGTCGAGATCGGCATCCCCGAAGGAAACATTATCGCCAAACCCGAGCCGCGACCCGAGGGGCACCAGAGGCCCATCGTCTTTTACGGCACTTCGATCACGCATGGTGCGTGCGCTTCGCGCCCCGGGATGGTTCACACAGCGATTCTCGGTCGCCGGTTTGATCGCCCGGTGATTAACCTGGGGTTCAGCGGCAACGGCATGATGGAAGTCGAGGTCGCCGAACTGATCGCCGAGGTCGACGCGGCCGCTTTCGTGATCGACTGCCTTCCCAATATGCAGGGCCCGCTGGTTGCTGAACGCACCGCAGGGGTGGTAAAGATCCTCCGCGATGCCCATCCCGAAACGCCTATCGTGCTGGTCGAAGATCGCAGCTACGCCGACTCGTTCTTAGTGACGTCAAAGCGAAAGCGCAACCTCGACAGCCGCGCTGCACTGCGGTCCGAATACGAGAAGCTCGTGGCTGCCGGCGACGAGAACTTGTACTACATCGAAGGCGAAGGCCTGCTGGGCGACGACGGCGAAGGAACCGCCGACAGTTCGCACCCCACCGATTTGGGCTTCATGCGACAGGCCGACGCCTTCGCCGAGGTGCTCGGCCCGATCTTGCAGAACTCCCAGTGATTCGTCCGGGGGGGTTAACAGCCCGTTGAAAAACTCAATTCGGCTCCGATCGATCTGTTTCGCCGAGACTCCGCGTCACGGAATCTCGACGAATCTTTGGATTCGCCTGCGATTCCGTTCCTTGATCTCGACAAAACAGCCCCGATCTCGCTATCGAAGCAGTTCTTCAACAGGCTGTTAATCCTCCGCCCGGCTTCCGTCACCGCACATCTTCACGATCTTGGGATCGAACTGCGCGAGCACCTCGACCAGGTCCGACTGTTGTGCGATGACTTCGCGGATGTCCTTGTACACCCCGGGCACCTCGTCAGCGTCGGCCGAAAGCACACGAACGCCCTTCTTGGCCAGATCGTTCTTTACGGCCTTCCAGGTGAACTGCGAGCGTGCCTTCTTCCGCGACATCCGCCGTCCGGCACCATGCGAGGCCGAATTGAGAGAGGCCGGGTTGCCCTTGCCGCGTACGACGAACGCCGGATCGGCCATCGAGCCGGGAATGACGCCCAGCTCACCTTCCGAAGCCGGCGTAGCCCCCTTGCGGTGTACAATCACTTCCTTCCCATCGTGAACTTCTTTCCAGGCGAAGTTGTGATGGTTCTCCACCCCGGCGACGATGTGCGCCCCCAGCAGGTTCGAAACCTGCCGGTGAATCACGTCGTGGTTCGCCGCGGCATAATCGCCCATCAAGTTCATGGCGGCCCAATACTCCTGGCCCGCTTCGCTATCTAAGTCGAGCCACGCCAGGCGGCCTAGGTCGTTGAAACGCTTGGGCAGCCGCGACTGGGCAATGGCGCTGTAGGTCGAACACACGGCCGCTCCCGCTCCTCGGCTTCCGCTATGGCTAAGCAGAGCCACATAGGTGCCGGCGTCCAGATCGATTTCGTCGATACGGTCGTTGAGGGTCAACACGCCAAACTCGACAAAATGATTGCCCGAGCCCGAGGTGCCTAGCTGCTTCCAGGCCACATCCTTCCGCTCGCGGGTGATCTTGCTCACGGTCCAGTCTTCATCCATCACGGGATGCGACTTCGGCACGTCGTAGCTCACCCCCACACCGAACCGAGTCCCGCCTTCCAGTGCTTCCTTAAAGCGATTGAACTCCGCATCGAGCGTCTCGGGTGCCAGGTCTAACACCGAAAGCTTCATCCGGCAGGCGATGTCCACACCCACGGCATACGGAATCACAGCGTTCTCGCAAGCCAACACCCCGCCAATCGGCAGTCCGTATCCCACGTGGGCGTCGGGCATCAGCGCCCCCGCGGTGGCCACAGGCACCGAGCAGGCTTGCCGCATCTGGTCGTGGGAGGCCTCATCGATGCCGTCCTTGCCCCAGGTGCGGTAGTGAACCGGTTCGGGGCGAACGAAATCGCGGTCCTCGATCAACGCGGCGGCCAGCTCTGCGAAGTGCTCGTCCTCGACATACTCCTCAGGGTTGTCGACCACCTGCTTGACCAGCTTCTTGAAGTTCTTCCCCTTGAAGCCCCCACTGTCGACCAGGCTTTGGATCGACGCGACGGCCTCCTTCAAGCACTCCTCGGGAATCCCCATCTTCTGGAGCTGACGGCTATTCATGTTCGTTTCTTACTCGTGTGACTTGCCCAAGTGGTGGGCCGTGAATCGGGAAATATTGTCTACTACATTCGGCCGGAACCAGGCGGAATCTTCATGCCCCGATCTGCTGCGGGCCCCATCGGTTCCTGCTATTGTGTTTATACGCAGTCGGGGGTGGAGAGCGAAGATACGGCCAAAGAATCCGACAGGCGGCCACCCTCCCTGGTTCACGCGACGCCCCTTGATCGCTGCCAGCAGAAGTCTGCATGCACCCATGAGAGAACCGATGATCCGACACCTCGCATTCTTGGCGGCCGCCCTCACCGCTACTTCATACTTATATGCTGAAGAGGAAGGGGCCAAACGTTTCCCCCCGCCCGAGGTCAAACGAGTGCTGTTCTTGGGCGACTCGATCACCTACGCCGGTCATTACGTGGCCCTGGTCGAGGCGGCTCTGCGGGAAGCCGAACCCGGGCGAGAGTGGACGATCCTCAACCTCGGCCTGCCGAGCGAAACCTGTTCGGGCCTGTCGGAACCCACGCATCCCTTCCCCCGCCCCGACGTTCACGAGCGGTTAGATCGGGCGCTGGCCAAGTTCAAACCCGAAGTCGTAGTGGCCTGCTATGGCATGAACGATGGCATCTACCATCCCTTTAGCGAAGAACGCTTCGAAGCCTACCAGCGGGGAATCGACCGGCTGATCGAAAAGGTGGATGCCGCGGGGGCCAAGTTGGTGTTGATGACGCCGCCCCCGTTCGATCCCGTACCGCTCCGCGAGACAGGCAAACTGCAGCCGGCCAGTGCAGAAGGGTTCGCCTGGACCGGGATCTATGAGAATTACGACGACGTGATGGCTCGGTATGCGGTGTGGATTCTCGACCAGGGCGATCGAGTAGAAATGGTCGTCGACCTGCGGACGCCTGTGCTCGAGTACCTCGCCGCGCAGCGGAAGGCGGAGCCCGAGTTTTCATTCTCTAACGATGGTGTGCACCTCAACCCTGCAGGCCACGAACAATTGGCTGCAGCAATTCTAGACACCTGGGGTTACGAGGAAGGCATTCCGAACAACGGTCCACTGCGGCAGCTCGTCGAACGGCGGGAAACCCTGCTTCGCGACGCGTGGCTCTCGCACGTGGGCCACAAGCGGCCCGGCATGAAAGAGGGGCCCTCCCTTGAGGACGCCGATGCCAAGGCCACGCAACTCCAACGCTTGATCGACAAGAGCCTGAACCATTCCGAATGAGTGGTCGTGACTCGCCTTGCTTAAGTGTCGCGCTGCGCCCCTCGCGTTGCGTATCTCCTTAGCTAGCCGCAATCTGCGAAATACTGCGTGCTCTCATCAAACGTCCGGCCCTTAGTCAGTGGCGGGGGCCCGGCTACAATTTCGGGCAAGGCACGTCAGATCGAACGCTCAGATGCACCAGTCGTGTGAATGACACGACCGTGAATTGAGCAGCAAATGGAAAGGCTACATCCGATGAGTTTCGACGTCGAAGGCAAGGTCGCCCTGGTCACCGGGGCCAACCGAGGGATTGGGAAGGTAATTACCGAGACGCTGCTCAAACGTGGAGCCACAAAGGTCTATGCCGCCGTGCGCGATCCCGCTTCGGCGAGTTCGCTGGTCGAAGCGCACGGCGACAAGGTTGTGCCTGTCGAACTCGATCTAACCAAACCGGAAACGATCAAGTCGGCCGCCAAGCAGGCCAGCGATGTTTCGCTGGTCGTAAACAACGGAGGCGTTCTCCGCACGGCTTCAGCACTTTCGAACGACGCTTTCGAGGCCTTGGACTTCGAGATGGACGTCAATGTACATGGCCTGCTGCGAATGGCTCAGGCGTTTGCGCCCGTGTTGAAAGCCAACGGTGGCGGGGCCTTCGCCCAACTCAATTCCGTGGCCTCGATGACCAGCTTCCCCGACTTTGCGACGTATTGCGCATCAAAGGCCGCCGCGTACTCGATCACGCAGGCTCTGCGAGTCACACTTGGCCAGCAAGGCACGCAGGTGGTTAGCGTACACCCGGGCCCCATCGATACCGATATGGGCGATGCGGCCGGCTTTGGCGATATCGCCGCGCCCCCAGAAGATGTGGCCAATGAACTCATCCAGGCTCTGCAATCCGGCGAGTTCCACGCATTCCCCGACCCCCGTGCCAAGGAAGTTGGCGACGCTTACGCCAGTTTCGCCAAGGCCGTGGTCGAAAGTGATGAGTCGATGGAGTAGCTCGGCCTAGTTTTGCCAGAACAGCGACTCACGCGGTGCCTGATACTTCACCGCCAGGTGAGGCGTTTCCAGCCGGCGTTGACCTTGCCCCAACGATTGCATCCCTGCGGCCACCAACCCCGTGGTCAGCAGAGTTCGCTCGATGGGGTAGGGTGCCTCGCCGGTGAGGAACAATTCCTCGGCCTTCGACATCAGTGCGGCTGAGTACACCACATTCGGGTTCGGCGGCAAGTAGAACAGCGTGGAGAGCGGTTCGGCTTCCTCCTTGAGTTTAGCCGCGAACGTGAAGTCGCCGACCAGGCCGTTCATGATAAGCATGGTTCCCTTCAAGCCATCGTTGTACTGAAAGCGATAAGCCACCGGGTCGGCAACCCACTCGCGGATTTGTTCCGGCGTGGGATACCGATGACTGAACGTCTCGGGCTGGGCCAGTGTCTGGCTGCGACACAAGCAGGCTTCGAACAACTCGGGGTCCCAACCACCCGAGCCGAAGTTGCCGCTTGCCATCGCCTTCCACACGGCGTCTCCCCGCAGGGCTTCAACCCAGGCCACACCGGTTTCGCCACCCTTACGCCGTTCGGCCATACACTGCATCACTTCCAGGGCGTGAAAGTCGTAGCTGTCGACACCCCCGATGGCCATGCACATCATCTCATCGACTTCGGCCCCATACGGCATATCGATCGAAGGCATGCGCCAGGTGACCGGCAGCGAAGACCCCGCCAGAAACGGAAAATTCAACTCCCGCGAGATGTCGACCATCTCCACAGCCCAATCCCAATTCCACGAGAGATGCTTGTCGTTGAACACCGGCACCGCGCGACCGTCTTGCTTGAAGACATCGGTCACCTGCTTGAAGAACTCATACCGTGGATATTTCTTCTGGCCGAACTCGTTGTCGGGATAATCCCCGTGCTCGCCGATGATCAATACGGCATCGACGGCCATTTCGTCTTCGCCACAGCGAAGCGCCTCGGCCACCGTCGGGTAGATGGGGAATCCAAACTCTTCCGAACGGCTGTGGCTCAGATCGTTCTCCGGAACCTGGTCGACGTAGACCGAGACGACTTCCAGCGGAGGTTGGTGCCAGTGCCCGTCGATGGGATAGCCCATCAGAAACCGCTCGCCCATATGCCAGGCATGCGAGTGAAAACGCCACTCGGTGGTGACAATCGCCAAACGCTTCGGCTTGGCCGGTTTCGCCCAACCCAGCGAGGTCGCCGCCAACGTGCTGCCCACGGCCCCTAGAAACAAACGCCGATCGATCTCTAGCGGTTGAACCATCGCCATCTCACCAATTGCTGCGGGTTGCGGAAGTGTACTAGCTGCCAGTGCAGCTTCCCAGCATAACCCAATTGGCCGGCGAAGGAGAAACCTGGACGGTGTGCGGCGCGGCTATTGCTTCAATGCCGGGGCATCGAAGGCCACGGTCATCCACCCGTCGCCGCTGACGTAATCGGTTGGAATCAGTTCGATCCCGGGTGGCAGTTCGAACGGAAGTTGGGCGGCCGTGAAAGCCATCTCCTCGCTCAGCAGCATTTCGAACCGCTCTTGAATCGCCGCCTGCGAACGGGCCTGTTCCTCGTTCAACTTTCCCAAGGCACTCACGCCGGGCGCTTGCATCGTAACGCCACCATCGCGTGTGAAGACGATCGCGTTTCCGCGGATCGAACCGAGATAGTTGGCCGTTACCACAAACGGCACCTTGTATTCCTTATCGCCGGCGGTGATCCGGCTGCAGCGGATCTTGATCTTCATTCCTCCCTCGGTGAAAACAACTTCCAACGGGGCCGAATCGTACATGGTGAGCGACCACGAGGTTCCCTCGTGGCTGGCGAAGTGATCCGGCACCGAACCGGCGATCCGTTCGATGAATTCGGCCAACTGCTGCGATTCGACTTCCTGGCCCGCCAGTGCTGTGTCGGTTGTGTTGTTGATCAGCGATTCGTGTACCGAGAAACTCATCGCCGCCCAAGGATACGACCCGGGCGGAGGTCCGAACGCCGCCAACTGGCCGGGCCCCGCCTGTGAGGCTTGCACATGCAAATGATTCTGGGTGGTGCTGAACGAGAGTTCCTGTGGATAGATCTCGCTCTGCTTCAATGGCACACGAAACGTGTTGATGAGTGTTTTATTCGCTTCGGCAACCAGCCCGTCGGTTTGGGCCTCAAACGCCTCGGCAAAGTTCTTTTCTGCCCGTTGCGAGAAACTTCGCTCGCTGGCAGCCTTCCCTTCGGAGATTCGTTTCGAACCAATTTTAGTGGCCACCCGATCTTTCACCGGGCGAGAGAACTTCGACCACACGTTGGTAATCCGTAGCGAGGTGTCTGCATGGATACGGGCGGGGGAAGCACTCACTCCCTCGGCCGTGGCCGTGAGGAAGCGTTCGCCGTGAATGGTCGTCGTTCCCCGCGATGCGAAGCCAATCGGATCGCGATGGCCACGCGTTGAACTTCGCAACACGCCATCGAAGCCGATTCGAAACGAAGCCTGCGTCGGGTCGGGTACCAGTTCCAAAGTCATCGAGCCGTCGAAGATCCCCTCGCCGGTAACTCGAGCTCCTCCGCTGGCGTTGTTGATGGGAATCACTCGATGCAGCGGTCGATTGAAACCGGCGGCCAGCAGCTCGGCCGAGACGTGGCCGTAGAAGTTGGGTTGCACGTAGACGTCGCGCACCTCGTGCATCAACTCGGGAGCGTAACCGTATCGATCGAACCAGGCCAGGCTCTCGCCAACCCGTTCACTCGCTCGCCGCCCGGGGCGTTCTTCTAACTGC